CCCCCCCCCCTACCAGCCCTCCCAGCCATGGACTGGCAGCTGGCTCTCCTCACTGCCACCAGCCCCTCTGCCCTACCTCACAGTGTCCCAGCCTCTCCCCCGCCACCCCAAACCCCCGCTAAGTCAGGCAGTCCAGGTCACAGCACACCAGGCTCCCAGTCTTGTTGGGCAGACCTGCTGCAGCATTTCCCAGCCACCAGTGCTCTAGTGGAACTGTCTCATCCTGGAACATCCATGTCCTTCTGGATGTTGCCGGACCAAAGAATCCCGGCTTTCGGAGGTTCAATTTGTATATTTATTTCTTGAATAAAAAACGACACACACTGTCCAAAACAGAAAGTTTGCTACTCTCAGTAAAAGACAAGAAAGATAACTGAATCCTCAATCAGCTAATTAGTTAGTTCTAACACTTCTACCTGCCATTACATATACACTTGTCTACTTTATCTGCTTTTTCAAAACACTTAATTGAAAAAGTTTCTCATCTGAAACTTCTATACCTATTAAAATTATAACTGAAGATAGCAAAATAATATTTTCAACTAGTTTGCGCATCTGATTGCACTTTTATAGTCAGTTTCGATATTTCCTCACCAAGTAAGTAGAAGAGGAACTAATTGAAAAGGTCTTTAAAAACATATGGTGAGCAGAAAATCCCTTATGTAAGAATGTAAAAGGTTTTTTTAAAAATAGACTTAAAATATTCTGTTTAAATGGCTAGCTCAAAAGACTGGCTAACTTAAAAAAAATAACCAAACAAAACCAAGTTGACATTAATATTTTAGGTATTTCTAAAATAATTCTCATGTATATCAAAGTATTATTCCATATTCAACAGCAGGGAAGCCTTTTGTAAATGAAATATTATGTAGCATTTCCACAAGATTTAAGGGTATAATCTTAGCCTTATAGAGCCTGCATTTGCAAGACTCTCTTCCCTCTTGGCTTCGGCACAACATTTAACACTGGGAGAGACAAGTTAAAATTGTTTCCTACACTTGAGATGGGTATCCAGACATTTGAGATTTAGATTAAATGTCTTTCCAAAAGGAACCCCATCCTATATTTCTTGTCAATGGGGCTTGCTCCAAAATTAAGTGCACACTAAACACGGTCTTAGATTTTTTAGTAACTTGGTATCAGATCTTCATCAAAATGACAGTGGGAGTGGGGAAGATGAGAGCAATTTGTAGAAGTTTTAAGGACACTTAAAACTGAGGACTTATCTGTTAGAGTTAATACAATTTGAAAATTGAAAAAAAAAGTTTAAGGACAGCCGTCAGCATCAACTCAGGAGACTGCTGTAATTGCAAATGTGAAATATTTATGTAACATTTAAGGTGTAATTTAAGAAAAGAAGTGCTACTGTGTTTGCGTGTATTATTTAGTTCTTACCATTCCTAATGTACTACTGCTGCATCTGCAGCTTGACACAGGTACTGAGTATTATGTGGTATTTCCTAGGTAAATAAAAATCAAGTTGCCTAAAACCCCTCTTTTCTAGCTCTGCTCGGGAGCCCATACCCCCAGCCCAGAGTCTGTACCCCCTCCCATACCTCACCTCAGCCCAGAGCCTTTTCCCACACTAGCACTATTAGTTAACCTGAATATTTGACTAACTGGCATCCACTATTCTTCCAGCCTACCAGATAAAGTTTTTACTGTACTCACATAATAAGGTTCAGCTTCCCTTTCAGTTATCTCATCCTGATACAATGTGAAACAGGTTGGTATTCGTCCAAACCAGACATCTCGAAGCACATCTTTGTCATCTGTCATTCTTCCAGCAGGTACTGAAGCACATGTAGACTAAATTATTTCTTCCACCAGATCTCTGCCACATACCCCCCAAAAACACACACAAACAAAACACAGCACAATCAGCTTTTTCAAATTAAAGATATAACATTTTATAATCCTCCCTTTACAGGTTGAACCTCTGTTAACCAGGATTCCCTGGCCCAGCAGGACCACAGATGTTCCAGGACCAGAGAGTCCCGGTGGAAGGCTGGCAGCTGGGCTCCCGGCAGCAGGGCTGCCTGGCGCACAGGGAGCTAGGCTGTCTGGCTTAGCACAGAATGGGGGGAACTGGCAGGGCAGGAGGGCTGGTGGTGGCCAGGAGACATTTGGCCGATCCCAGGCCGGGGGGGGGGCTGGTAGGAGGGGTTGCAGATATGACCTCCCCAGGGCCGATAAAATCCCTCGTATGAGACTGATCAGGTCCTGAGGCTGCCAGACTAGAGAGGTCCAACCTGTACTATGCTCCCATGACACTATGCAGCAAGAAGAGTTTTGTTTATCAAGTTCCCAAATTTATTAATTGCTACAAAGAAACAGTTGCCTGAAAGGGTTTACAGATGATAAATTAATAGCTGAACACTAATCACTGAAAAATATAAAGATGAGATCTTATATACAATTTACCCAAAAGTTCTCAAATTCTTTAGCTGCCAGACATGTGAGAGACAATGATCAACAAGGCTCGACAAATAGTGTAATCTACTCACCCGTGGCGAGTAGATTACACCCTGGAAGAGCCAGCGTGTAGCAATCTGCGCATGCGCAGAACGATCTGCACATGTGCAGAGCACAGAACCGTGCGGCTGGCATGCGGGGCTTGCTGCCGCTCAGCGAGCACTGATGATTATCACTGAATTGCAGGACTGGAAAGGAATCTCAAGAGGTCATCTAATCTAGTCTCCTGAATTTATAGCAGGACTAAGTATCATTTAGACCAGGGGTCCCCAACGCGGTGCCCATGGGCACCATGGCACTCGCCAGGGCATTTATGTGCGTCTGCTTAGTGACCAGGGCCTGTCCGAGCCATTCTTGCGCCCCAGGCTCGTGCGCGGACCCCACCCTGGGTGCGCAGAACATGCATGGTGCCGAACCCACGTGTACGGCACATGTGCGGCCCCAGGCACGCAGCGCATGCATGGTGCCACCCCTAGGTGCGCGGCGCATGTGCAGCCCCGCCCCCTGGTGCCCAGCAGCCCCAAAAGGTTGGGGACCACTGACCTAGACCCTGACAAATGTTTAACATGCTCTTAAAAATCTCCAATGGAATTTCCACAATCTCCCTAGCAATTTATTCCAGTGCTTAACCATCCCGACAGTTATGAAGATTTCCTAAGGTCCAACCTAAACTGCCATTGATGCAATTTAAACCCCATTGCTGTTTTGTTAGTCTATAAAGTGCTACCAGACCATTTGCTTGCTGCTTTTTTCTGTAACAAACTAACTCAGATACCCCCTGAAGCTCCTAAATCATTTTTGTTACTCTTCTCTGGATTTTCTCCATTTTGTGGTACCCAAAACTTTTCTGAAATGTGGTACCCAAAACTGGATGTCTAAGGCCTAATCAGCACAGAGTAGAGTAGAACAATTATTTTTCATGTCTTCCTTATAACACTCCTGCTAATACTTCCCAGAATGACATTTGCTTTTCCTGCAACATTCCGTTGTTGATTCATATTTAGCTTGTGATCCACTATGATCATAAGAATGGCCATACTGGACCAGACCAACAGTCCATCCAGCCCAGTAGCCTGTTTGCCGACAGTGGCCAATACCTGATGCTCCAGAGGGAGGAAACACAACAGGTAATCCTCACATGATCCCTCCCTTGTCACCCAGCTCCAGAGAAACAGAGGCTAGGGACACCATTTCTACCCATCCTAGTTAATAGCCATTGATGGACCTAATCTCCGTTAATTTATCTAGCTCTTCTTTGAAACCTATTAAAGTCCTAGGCTTCACCACACCATCTGGCAAGGAGTTCAGGAGATTGACTGTGTGCTGAGTGAAGAAAAACTTCCTTTTGTTTTAAACCTGCTGCCTATTAATTTCATTTGGCGTACTCTAGTTCTTATATCGTGGGAATAAGTACGTAACTGTTCCTTATTCACTGTTTCCACATCAGTCATGATTTTGTAGATCTCTATCATCATTGGATTGCCCTTGTCCACATGTTTGTTGACGCCCTCAAAGAACTCTTGCAGATTAGTAAGGCATGATTTCCCTTTTTCATGCCATGTTAATTTTCCCCCAACAAATTATGTTCATCTATTTGTCTGACAATGTTATTCTTTACTATAGTTTCATATCCCAGGTTCCTTTCCACAGTACTCCTTCAAAGGCAGTCACTTCCCATTTTGTATATGTGCAATGCATTGCTCCTTCCTAAGTGGAGATTTTTTCATTGTCCTTACTGAATTTCATTCTGGGTACTTCAGAACATTTCTACACTTTGTCCAGATTATTTTGAATTTTAATCCTATCCTTCAAAATACATTCATCACCTACTATCTTGGTATCATCTGCAAACATTATAAACATACTCTCTTTGCCATTGTCTATATCAGTGGTGAATGTATTGAACAGAACTGGGTCCAAAACTGATCCACTAGAATGCCACTCGATACACCCTTCTGACTTGACTATGTATCACTGGTAACTACCCTCTGGAACAATTTTCAGAACAGCTATACACTAACCATACAACAACTTCATATCGGTTATATTTCTATAGTTTGTTTATGAGAAAGTCATGTACTCATCCACAAAACTTGCTAACCTGCCTAGGAAAGCTACTAAAGGTTGGACCTCTCTGGTCCGGCAACCTCGGGACCTAACCAGTCCAAACAAGGCGTTTACTGGACATGTCCCCTATGATGGGCCTCCCAGCCCACTGCTCCTACTAGATGCATTTCAAAGTTGACACACCGTGTGCAGCTCAGAGTCAGTGGTACTCCACACTGGCCCGGCTGCACACAAGAGTTCTGCATTCCTCCTTTGAAATGTACAAGAGCTCCGGGGGGGAAGGCTAGAGTACATTTCAAAGGAGGAATGCGAAAATGCCTGTCGACTGGTCAATGGAAATTCCATCAACTACTCAACAAGTCAATTAACCGCTAGTTAACGCCCTTAGATTGATTTGATATTATTTGTTCTTGACAAATCCATTCTGACTGTTAAGGTATGCACCTTTTAAATTCTCCCAGTTCATATACAGAGATAACAGCACTTGTATTCTCCAAGGGGATAGCTATGATACACCTATACACCCATGTCTGGCTGTTGCCAGTTAACTCAGACTCACAGGACTTGGGCTGTTTTTGTGTTGTAGTTTTCCAAGCTTGGGCTCCAGAATGAGCTCTAGGACACTATAAGGGTTAAGGGTCACAAAACTAGAAGTCTTCACTGCAATTAAACAGCAAGACAGCCTGCATCTGAACCAACTGGCATGGGCTACCACACATTTTTAATTGCAGCATAGACCTAACTCATTTTTGCAGCACTCTGCCACTCCTTATGCATGGTCTACACTAAAATGTCAGCTCAGCCCAGCAATGTTGCTCTCTAAAGTAAACAGTGCTATTTGGAAAGAAGAATCCTTCCATTGACCTACCTACTTCCTCTCAAGGTGGTGGATTACCTATGTCAATGGGAGAATCCTTCCCATAACCATCAGCTATATCTACAGTGAAACACTGCAGCTGTGCTCCTGTCCCACTTCAAGTGCAGACAAGTTCTCTATGAAAATGTAGGACAAATGCATTCTTCATAAGTTAAAATTAGAACTGCAATACTTGTAAGAATGTCGGTGTTTTAAAAGCCAAAGTAACTTCTTTTAATAAGTCTACATTAAAGATTAATTTAATTCATTTAAAAATTAACAATAACTATCAAAACACTGGCTAATTGCAGAATAGCATTAATAACATGCTTAGAATTAACAGTAACTACATGCCAACCTGAACAGCAGGGGGAGAATGGAAGATGAGAGGAATGGGGAACCTCAACTACCATATCCCTGAACACGTGCATGAATGGTGAGCAGCGTCTACATTAAAAAAAATTCTCCAGAAATTTGCCACCATTCATCTCTCCCAATGTTAGTAACATTATGGATGTTAAAATTAGGAATGTCAAGCAATTTAAAAATTTAATCGCGATCAATCGTGCCATTAAAAAATTTAATCATGTGTGCCTCCCCTTTGAAATGCCACAGCGGCATTTCAACGGGGCAGCACTGCATGGAGCCCGGGATCAGCTGCAGACTCTAGCTGATCCCCAGCTCCACTTGCGCTGCCCCTTTTGGCACTTTAAAGGAGCAGCACATTAGAATCCTGGGATCAGCTGATTTGCAACAGCAGAGCCGGGGATCAGCAGGGGACTCCAGCTGATCCCCAGGTCCACTTGCGCTGCCCCTTTGAAGCACAGGAGCGGCACTTCAAAGGGGCAGCACACCATTAACGCCTGCAATTAACACATTAATCCTGTCCTGGGTTAACCACAGGCATTAACGCAAATCAATTGACAGCCCTAGTTAAAATGCATTTATTTAGGTAAATGTGTAAGCACTGAAAATAATGGCGGATACATGTTAACATGAGCGGGGGAGCAGGTGGCTCCACAGGAGCCAGTATGTACTGGAAACTGGCTTAAAAGCCTGCCCCCTGCACTGCTGCCTCTATCATTGGTGCTCCCATCTGTTCTCTCCCTTCGCACTGTGGGGGGCAAGAGGCTGCGTTTAACTGCCCAGGCTCATCGGTTAACCATGTACACGTTTACACTTTCATATCTCTAAGCAACATACAGAGCCCAAGTGTAGGTAGGCTACTTGCCTTTTAAGCAACATGCAGTCCAACTCTGCTCAAACCAGATATACAGTGAAAGATTTGTTGTCTGGCACTCCTAGGGAATGGGGGTTGTAGATTAATTCAATGTGTAGAACAACAAAGCTTATAGTATTCCCCCTATTGGCAGATCTGGCTCTTGGCAGCTGGAGGCAGGCCGAGGGGAAAGGAGGCATCTGCTGATGCACCTGAAGACACTGCGGTATTGTGGCTAGGGGTGTGAATGACTAGTTGACTATCCGATAAGCAAATTCTTATCAGATAGTCGACATGCTAGTCAACTAGTCGCTTCCCCTCCCTTGCTGCCTCTATCAGAAAGAGGCAGCAGGGCGAGGGAAGCGGTAGAGGGGGAAGAGAGAAGAGGGTGCTTCAAGGCAGCAATACTCCAGGGAGCCCAGGGTCAGCCACTTTGAAATGCCACGTGCAGCCCGGGGCCAGATGGGTGTTCCCAAGTGGCCCCGGGCTACACACAGAGTTTCAAAGTGGCAGTGCTGCATGGTGCACAGGGTCAGCAGGGGACTCCCCCGCTGACCCTGGGCTCCATGCGGCACTGCCGCTTTCAAAATGCCATGTGAAACCTGATGCCAGCTGTTGCTACACTTCACAGGCAAAAGCGCTCCTCCCGCAGCGCTTTTGCTTTTGAAGTGTAGCAACAGCCCAGGGGCTGTTGCTACACTTCAAAGGCAGAAGCGCCCTTATCGACTATTGCATCGACTATTTGATTAGCCAAGTAATTGAAATTTTACATCCCTAATTGTGGCTGGGGGGCAATGTCGGTTAAAGGTTTCCAGTTAACAGAATGCTGGATAACAAAACGTTCAGTGTACCACAGTGCTTAAAACAACAGTAGCATGCAATGATTTAGCTTCATTAGGTGTCCTAAGATGGTTACCGACTGGTACCAGTTCAGCTTAACAATGCTGAAAAACATTTTCACAGTCTTTTTCTGTAGTCTTGTCAACACTTAAGACCAAGGTGAATCAGCAAAACATAGCAGGCATGTCTGTGCTGCAATCACACCCTGTGATTGCAGCCCCTACAGACACACCTGACCTAGGTTTAAACTAGTTAGCTTAGGTAACAGAGCGACATGGGCTTCGATGCGGCTGTGCAAGTCTGTGCTGCTATAGGTTAATTACTTATAGTACCAAAACTAGATAAGTTAGAGTTAGCTCAGATATGCAAAGCAGTCATATCCAAAGATGTGCCCATAACTACAGTCAGAACAAAAAACTAGCCAAGGAAAACCAGAGAGTATCAAATACGTTAGTATGTTAAAATAATTCTTCATTCTAGCTGTTCTCCACGAATATTTGGAGTCACTCATGCTTACTTGAGTGACAAAAAGTTGTAATACAGGTTGGACCTCCCTGGTCTGGCACCCTCAGGACCTGACTGGTTCCAAAGGAGGAAGTTTCTGGACCAGAAGAAGTCAACTCCGCCCCTCTGCTAAGAGACTCTAGGCTCCCCAAGAGTCTGTCAGCAAACCTGGCCAAGCTCCCCTGTCCTGCCAGGACTCTGCTGCCTGGGGGCCCCTATGGCCACCATGCCCTAAGCTCTGCTCCCTGACACGAAGCCCCTAGGGCACACTGGTCCAGCAACATCCGTGGTCCTGCCAGACCATGGATGTTGCCAGACACGGGAGATTCAACCTGTACAATTACTGTATTACTCATGTATAGTCAACACAGCAAAATAGGATGGATTTCTGTCTGGTTCAAAGGGTTGAAATCCCGACTTTAGGAATTTCAGGGAGGGCATACAAGTGGGGTTCCGCAGGGGTCTGTTTTGGATCCAGGTCTGTTCAATATCTTCATCGATTTAGATATTGGCATAGAGAGTACGCTTATTAAATTTGAAGATGATACCAAGCTGGGAGGGGTTGCAACTGCTTTGGAGGTCATAATTCAAAATTATCTGGACAAACTGGAGAAATGGTCTTAGGATGAAGTTTAATAAGGACAGATGCACTTAGGGAGGAATAATCCGCTTCATACATACAGAATGGGAAGTGACTGTCTAGGAAGGAGTACGACAGAAAGGGTAATGTCTAAGGGTCATAATGGACCACAAGCTAAATACGAGTCAACAGTGTGACCCTGTTGCAAAAAAATCAAATATGATTCTAGGATGCATTAACAGGAGTGCTGTGAGCAAGACACAAGAAGTCATTCTTCTGTTCTGCTCTGTGCTGATTAGGCCTCTACTGGAGTATTGTGTCCAGGTCTGGGATCACATTTAAAGAAAGATGTGGAGAAATTGGAGAAGGTCCAGAGAAGAGAAACAAGAATGATTAAAGGTCTAGAGAACATGACCTCTGAAGAAAAACTGAAAGAATTGGGCTTGTTTAGTTTGGAAAGGAGAAGCCGGAGAAGGGACATGAAAGCGGTTTTCAGATATCTAAAAGGGTGTCACAAGGAGGAGGGAGAAAAATTGTTCTCCCTGGCCTCTGAGGATAGGACAAGATGCAATCGGCATAAACTGCAGCAAGGTTGGACATTAGGAAAAACTTCCTGTCAGGGTGGTTAAAATAAGTTACCTAGGAGGGTTGTGGAATCTCCAGCTCTGGAGATATTTAAAAGCAGGTTAGACAGACATCTAGAAGGGATGCTCTAAAGGGTTCTGCATCCTGACGTGATATTAGGGGACTGGACTCGATGATCTCTTGAAGCCTCTTCCAGTTCTAGTGTTCTATGATTCTATAGTAAATCTCAACACAGACTCAGCTTTAATGGAGCTGCTTGAAGGAGCTCAGGAAAAACTCAGGGAGCTGGCGGGGAGCAAAGAAATATCTATTCACCTATAAACACAGGCAATTTGCACTGGTCATTAAGGGACAGCTGGTGCCATTAAGAGAAGCCCACTAAGAAGTGGGCATCATGCGCCCTCCC